TCCAACCCCTGGCTCAAGCATTCCAGGTCCAATCTCTTGTTAAAAACCTTCAATGAAACCAGGAATCCTTTACCACACAGGTTATTTTTTGCTAAGACATGTCTTAATATTATTGATATAGAGCAGGGGTAGGCAGCCTTGGCTCTTTTATGACTTGTGGACTTCAACTCCCAGAATTCCTGAGCCAACCATGCTGGGGGGGAAGGGAGAGGTTTCCATGCTGAGCCATGCTGGCTCAGGAATTCTGGGAGTTGAAGTCCATGAGTCATAAAAGAGCCAAGATTGCCTACCCCTGACATAGAGAAATACAGTACTTCAGTGGCCCCCAATCTTTTGGGCACCAAGGACCAGTTCTGTGGAGGACAGTTTTTCCACGGACCCAGGGGGATGTGGTTTCATGCACTGTCCGGATCCCACATGGGCATGGATGGGGCTTCACTTGCTTGCACAGCCAGTTCCTGGCTGGCTGCGGCCCAGTGCCGGTCCATGGTCCAGGAGTTGGGGACCCCTGCTGTACTTATTTAATTGTTCTATATTAGAAGTAAAACTTTGATTAAATATCAATAATGAAAAAGCAGAGGAAAATGAATCAAAGAAAGCACTAGTTAAATTAATTATAAAAGCATTATTAAATGTAGTTATCATGACTTCTTTTAATTTTAGATTTCAAATTAATCCATATAGTTTTGTTGAGGATTTGAAGACTTAAAGATTGAGGTGGGGGATTGACATAGTCTAATGGTAAAATGTGTCAACCCTTGACATCTCCAGGAAGGGTGGAAAAAAATCCTTCCTGAAAAACTAAGGCATCACTTTGGTCAGCGTAAAACAGTACTGACCTGGGATAACACTGGTTCCTGTATTCCAATTGAGTTATTATGTTGTACATGCAAATCAAAAATCAATACAAGCACATCAGCCTGCTTGCACTAAATGTTCATCAGAGAGGAACTCTGTGCAATTTGCAGTCTACCCGTTGTCCTTATAAACAACTTTTTTCATCCTAGGGCAATGCAGATTATTGGTTTCCAGCTTCTGTCATCTCCAATCCACCACTTCTTCAAGCATCAGGATGAGAAAGACTTTAACTCATTCTGTATCAGTTCTATTTTAGCAAAGCAAGCACTGGGGGCACTGTAATTAACTGCAGTATTGCAGGCAAACTCTGCCGACAGCCTGCAGTTCGATCCTGATGGGGCTCAAGGTTGACTCAGCCTTCCAGCCTTCTGAGGTTGGTAAAATGAGGAGCCAGACTACTGGTGGCAATATGCAAATAATGCTGACATTGTAAATCACCCGACAGTGCTCTAAAGCACTATGGGGCAGTATATAAGTCTAAATGCTATTGCTATTGCTAAAGGTGTGAGCACCAGAGAAGCTGGGGATTTGATAGAGGAATATATATTTACAAAATAAGGCTAGACAGTTAAATTATAAGGCTAATAATTTCAGCAGTATTTCCTGTTATCAATTCCATCTAATGTTTAATAATTTACCTTAAATGTAAAGAATCATAATATTAGCATTCATGAATGAAACAATCTTCTACAATGATGTACAGCCAAAAAGAGAATGCCATAGTAATGTCAAGGACAAAATGTTTCACTGGAACAAATCTAGGTTTACTTATTTCTCAGTCAAAAAGACCCCCTAGTAAGCTTGAGAAGCAACTGTCTTTTACTTAACGCAAAGGTGAGTAGCCTTTTTTGGCAGCCAGGAACTACACTCTTTAAAAAAAAATCAATGAATACACACACAAATATAAATTGATTTTTTTTTAATTGAAAACTATCCTTTTCCCAGGAAAAGGAAAAGCTCCAGGATCTAAAATTCTCAATTTGCAGGATGATCCCAAAACTATAATTGCATTATATTAGATAAATCCAATTCTATTGGACTTAACCAAACTGTGCAAAACAATGTACAAACTTTTGAGATTTCCATAACTATTCTTTAATATTGCTAACTTTAATAGTATGGGAATAAGCAAAAATCTAAAAATATTAAGCAGATTTTTCAGCCATCTGTTTGCAGTTCAAAAAACATCTAAAATGGCATTTGGAGTTGGGATATTTTTTCATAAATTGACATAGCTGTAACTGCTTTTTGTATACTTTGAGAAATAGGTGTGTAAAATAGTTCTTGTTCCCACACAATTTGCCTGGATTGGTGGGAAATAATTTCCTAATAAAAATCTCAAACTACAAATACTTGCCATTTTTATTTTCTAAGCATATCAGTCTGTGAAGTTCAAAATTATTCTGGGGAGAGATGAATGTATTCCTGAGATTGCCTACTTCTGTGGAATAATAAATTTCAGATTAGTTCTTTCTTTGTTAATTAATGACTTATGCATTACTCCAGGGGTCTCCAATCTTGGCAACTTTACGACTTCAACTCCCAGAATTCCTCAGCCAGCCAGTTGAAGTCCACCAGTCAAAGTTGTCAAGGTTGGAGACCCCTGCATTACTCCATCCTTCCTCAACTTTATGTCCTCTGGGACTAAAACTTCCAGAATTCCTAGACAACATGTTTAAATGCTAATGGACGCCAGAGCATCCCATCACTAAGCAATAGCAGAAATTGAGCTGATAGAAGTTTCCAATCCTGCACACACATACTTTATATTCTTGGCAAATTGGTTGAATGAGGACATTGCGGAGGTCCTAAAAGTAATCTTTTTCTTCAGATTAATTCCAAATTGGCAAGACGTCAATGCCAAGCAGTTCAGTGATTTCATTGGAAGTTCCCAGAGGCAGACCCACATCATGGCACTAGGGTCCTCTTGTTGAAATTGTATGGCACAACTCAGGCATCAGAGAGCTATGGTGTTTGAAGTTCCCATTATATCAGGGGTCTTCAAACTTGGCCCTTTTATGACTTGTGGACTTCAATTCCCAGAATTCAGCAGCCAGCGTACCTGGCTGAGGAATTCTGGGAGTTGAAGTCCACAAGTCATAAAAGGGCCAAGTTTGAAGACCCCTGCATTAGATGATATTATAACACTGTGGGAAGAGAGGTGAAGGAGCTCACTGTCTGTATCAGGGGTGTCAAACTGCCGGCCCACGGGCCGGACGCATCATGAGGAAATGCGTCCCGAGGATAAAAGAAGATTAAAACCATAGATCCAGCCTACGTCACTCTTTTTCAGAAAAATAATGCAACCCTAAATTATGTGATCAGTTACCCCCTCCAAATATACTGAAACGGCATTGTATATGATAACAACTACAAGGATTTTATACACTTTTTATTGGAAAAGATCTCTAATCCCCTGTATAGAAAGATAATTAAACTGTGAGGATGTTTCAACGCCTAGAGCTACTGGATATCTAAAAGGTTACTATTCAGTCTTCTTTGGAAACCATTTTTGCACTATGATTTTTTGCATAGAAATGTGCTATAATTCTTCTCAAATTTGGATTCTAGAATTTATTCATTTAATCTAATATATAGCATTCGCAATAGCACTTAGATCTAGATACCACTTCATAGTGCTTTGTAGCTCTCTCTGAGTGGTTTACAGAATCAGCATATTGCTGTCAGTGATCTGGGTCCTCATTTTACTGAACTTAGAAGGATGGAAGGCTTAGTCAACCTTGAGCCTGTCAGGATTGAACTCCTGGCAGTGAGCAGAGTTTGCCTGCAATACTGCATTCCAACTATTGCACCACCACAGCTCCTAACAGTCTACACCAGAGTTCCCCAATGTTTCCGGCTTTGCAGAATGGGAGGGGGGAAGAGAGGGATGGTTCTGTGTGAGCAGCCAGTAAGAACACCAACACACAACTCCATTTATGCAAGGGCACGCCCGCGTGCCCACCGCTCACACAAATGGGGCATACGTGCACACGCTCACCTGCTTGCGCAAGTGGGGATGTGTGCATGCGCGCTCAGCCCGTTTCCATGACCCAGTTGTAAATAGCTCATGGCCCGCTAATGGGCCACAGCCCAGAGGTTGCTTATTATTTAAAGTTTTTCAGCTGTACAATAGGAACATGTCTTGACTAGAATTTGGTATGAAATATACTCTAAATTGTTAATGGTGTTTTAGAATATAGTGGTCATTTTATATTTTAGATCTACTGATTATTTTAAGCTTGTTAGTTGTCCATCTGTATTTAATAGCTTCTTTTGTTTCTTTTTTTTCCTTCTTGCTAATTTTTCTATATGCTTTTAAATGTGTATTTGTATCGATATTATTTATTTTTTATTTTTAATTTGCCGGAGGAGTTTGGGTTTACTGTGCAGTTGTGGACATGTGTATATGGGATTTTTGTGTGTGAGGCCTCTACTCAAGGAATTAGAATTGGAACATCTTTATTTGTTTCATCAGCAGAAAACAAAATGGAATATAGTTAGAATCAAGTTGAAATGTAATCAAACTGAAAATCAGGCTTCCCAACTTAAAGTCTTTCCTACTAGTGGTCAATTCATCTATTAAAAAATATAAATGCACATTATGCTAAAAGTTTATCTGTTTTCAAAAAAACACCAACCAAATCCACCCATCTGTTGTACCTAATACACATGGTCCTCGACTTAACAACAGTTCATTTAGTGACAGTTCAAAGTTACAACAGCACTGAAGAAAGTGACTTATGACTGTTTTTCACACTTATGACCATTGTAGCATTCCCATGGTTACATGATCAAAATTCAGGCACTTGGCAACTGACTCATATTTATGACAGTTGCAGCAATCCAGGGTCCAGTGACCACCTTCTGTGATCTTCTGAGAAACCAGATTCACTTAACAGTTGCAATGTTTCATTTAACAACTGTAGCAAGAAAGGTCCTAAAATGGGGCCAAATTCACTTAACAAACATCTTACTTAGCAACAGAAATTCAGTTCAGTTGTGGTCGTAAGTTGAGGATTGCCTGTATATGAACAGTCTGAGACCCTATGTTTCTTTTTAATGCTAAAACACTGCCAATAACTGGGTGCTTCGGGTGAGACCTTGCATTGTCATTGTTTTTCTGTTATTATTATTTTTAGACGAGAAATCCTTCAGCATGTGGACGTGATCAAAAACTTTTCTTTAACAAAGAACATGGTACGGATTGGACAGCTGATGCATTATGATTATTCCAGCCATAAGTACGTCTTCTCCATTAGCAATAGCTTCCGCTTGTTGCTTCCAGATGTCTCGCCGATTCAGAACAAGCACTACAACATTTGCGCTGTTGTGGGAAACAGTGGAATTCTTCTCGGCAGTCAGTGCGGGCAGGAAATAGACAAATACGATTTTGTTTTCCGTTGCAATTTTGCACCCACCGAAGCATTCCAGAAAGATGTTGGAAAGAAAACCAACATCACCACTTTTAACCCGAGCATTTTGGAGAAGTATTACAACAATCTTTTGACCATTCAAGATCGCAATAACTTTTTTCTAAGCTTGAAGAAGCTGGATGGAGCTATTCTCTGGATTCCAGCTTTTTTCTTCCATACTTCAGCCACTATTACCAGAACTTTGGTAGACTTCTTTATTGAGCATCGAGGACAATTAAAAGTCCAGTTGGCTTGGCCAGGAAATATAATGCAACATGTTAACAGGTGCGATTTGCTGCTGTGCATCATTAACTTGTTGGTGCTTAGTTTTTGGTGTAACCAAAGGATATTCAAATTATGGCAGTTGTAAGGAGGATGGATAGTTTGTGAACCCAGGTAGCATTTCACTTACATTGCTGACCTGAAAAACTAAGAAGGATCTGAACAGGAGAAGAAACAACTACTATAAATGAGCCTCAAAAGATAGAATAGACTAGTAATTTTTAAAAATTGCAGAAAAAGCCAGTGGCATCTGACTTGCTGCCTTATTATGTTTATTGGATTCATTCTGTGCTTCTTCATATAAAAAGAGCCTCTGAGGCACCTTATAGAAAGAGTCACGCAAGAAGGAACTAATTAAAAAATTAAATGCTTACTTAATACATCCAACAATAAAAAAAACCATGAAGAAGCGTTAAAAAAAATCAATTAATTTGATACCTCTGCTTTCCAAATAGGAAAGACTAAAAAGCAAGGAAATTCCCAAAGCTCGTCCCAGTGCAGTACAGAGATGAAAATCTTGATTTGTTCAGATAGCTTATTGGCTAATAAATAAGGGGGGAATCCACTGTGTTATGAATGAAGATGATCATCATCCATGATCATCCATGATGATCAACAAAGATGATAACTACTATAGTCCCAAAAGTGCTTTTTTTTTCCAAAAGGCAACTGGACTTTGTTGTTTTAATGTTTTGTTTTTCATCCAAGAAACTTCTTCAGTTCAATAACATGAAATGATTTTAATATTTAGCATTTCTATTGAAAACAAAAAGTATATAAAGATGTCTAACAAGATCAAGCAAAAAAATAAAAATAAACTATAAAAAACAAAAAAAGTTCATAACGGTATTCATATTTCCACCATGACTATCTTGATAACATAATTTAAAATATGTCACATTCATATTATTAATAATAATTTAATTGTTGTTTAATCTTAACACTTTTAATGTTTTTATATCTATGTTTTTATACTATTGTAAGCCATCCAGTCACACAGGACAGTGAGACAGGTAGCATATAAATTTAATAAAAAACTAAAAGCTAGGAGATAGGTGGATATTTCTGTAGAGGAACTTTGAGAATTGCCACCACCAAAAAGGCCATGCTCTGCCAAAGCATCCAAGAACCTCAGAAAAAATATGAATGTGAAATAGGATTTCCCCAAAATAATGATACTTTATGGATTCTTATTTTGCAGGTACTGGAAAAACAAGCATTTGGCCCCCAAGCGACTCAGCACAGGTATCTTGATGTACACCCTTGCATCCGCGATTTGTGATGAAATCCACCTGTATGGGTTTTGGCCCTTTGGCTTCAACCCAAACAACAGAGAGGATCTTCCCTACCACTATTTTGACAAGAAAGGAACCAAGTTTACTACGAAATGGCAAGAATCCCATCAGCTGCCTGCTGAATTCCAGCAGCTCTTTCGAATGCACGGTGAAGGGCTTGCAAAACTGACTTTATCCCACTGTGCCTAAGGATTTCATACTTGAAGTGCCAAAAGATTGTTGCTGTTGTTTTTTAAAGGGGGGGAAGTGCCCCCACTGAATTTGCAATTTTTCAAAGCAGAATTCTAAAAGGAAAGGCATTGGTGGGAATAAGATGGGGAAGTGTTTAATTCTGGAGAAGTCTCCGTTTATTATTACCAGTTTTCAAAGCCTAGGAGAGTGGCTTTGCCAATTTTGCAAGACAGAAGTAATTCTTATCTTTCTGAAGTAGGAAAATCCAGGCTGTTTATAGCAGAAAAGTTTTGAATGTCTTAGCTATGTTGCCAAGAATATTAAAGTATTTTCATAGTCATATATTTTTCACATTCTGGAAAGGAAAAAAAGGGTGTACATTATCAATAGTTAGAACTTCTGTGTTTGCTTATTCAGACTAGCTTATTGTTGTTTCTGGATTTATTTGGGGAAGGGGTGAATTTATGCTCTTGCTATTCATAGTGGAACATGGCTGTGTTAATTCATGAGAATTTTTCCTGAAGTTTGGACTATATGATGGTTTAGGGCAGTATGAATAGACAATAGGTCTATTAAGATCACTGAGAATGTCTCCTAATTAAGAGACGATTGAATTGTTCCCAAAGTCTAGTTTTTCTCTTTGAAGATCAAAATCTAGGAAAAGTCAACAGTATTGTCCATGCATTTAAGCATCTATATCTGGCACGGATGATCAACTGAATACCCAAATAGCAATTTGGCCATTGACCAATTTTCAAAGACGTTTCTTCTTTTCAGATCTCCTGTTGAAATGACTTGCTCAAGCTACTATCAGTGCAATTCAGACTAAGTAGCTAATGTGGTCCTGTGGCACTATCAGTATAAAAATAATTTTGTGCACGTGGTATTTGTGCAAGAACACCATGATTTTGCACAGTGTGTTTGCTTAAATAAAAGCAGCATGTTTCTGATCTGCCAATTATCTCCTGCAAATTTAAAACAAAAATCCCCTTCCCTTGCATGATTTCATTTGTGGAGAACTACAGAAATGGTCTTGGAGAAAGAATGTGGCAGCCTTTAGCAAAACATGAATGTATTAATAGTTGCTTGCACAGTCAACCAGATGTTTAGACTGGCATTTTTGTCCACCTAATGTCCTTCCCAATGACCTGAGATAGGCAGATGTTGTTTAATAATTAAAGGTATTGTCATGGATGTAAGATGCCTTTTGCAATTGACTGGTGGTGATTTTGTCAATGCTGATCATGTTCAAGTGACGCTCCAAATGTTTTAGAATTGGACCCAAGGGGCCTGTTATGTACTATGGGTACTACTGTTGTTTTCTTTTGCCAGAGTTGCTCTACTTCTATTTACAGGTAGTTTGTGCTTTTCTTCAGTTTTCTTTTATTCTGCTTTTGCCTCCAGGTACTGCCATGTTGACTAACCAGACTTTTTTGTCTTTCTTATCAACAGTTGTTAAATCTGGGTAGGCTTGTCTGTTTGAATTTCAGACAATTTCCCAGAGCATATTAGCTTCTTCATTTTCTGTTATTTTTTCTATTTTGTGGTTCCACCAGTTCTTGCTTGCAGCTATCCCAATACCCCATTATTGCTACTTGTCATGCTGTTGTTTGTAGTCTGCCTATATGATCCTTTTGCAGCAGCTAAGTAGTCCACTGTTTCTTCAGATTCTTGGCAAAGGCATGGTTGGTGTTTCTTGCTGTCTTTTCAATTCTGGTTTTATGTGCAATTGTTCTTAAGATGTGGTTTTGTGCAGCCAGAATTAGCCCCTCTGATTCTTTTTTCAACTTTCCTGTTCTTAGCTATTACGAGGTCTTGTTATCATCTGCTTGACCTGTTAGGGGTTTTTTTCTGCACTGGCCATATATTAATTTGCTTCACCATGTTTCTATTCTGTTCTTCATTTGGTCTTTCTTATAGGCTAGTTTGATTTTTTTGGTATTCAGTAAGCCTTCGTGGTACATTCGCTTCAGTGCATCTTCTTCAGTCTTTCAGATATTCTTCAAATGCTTTTTTTTTCTTCTTCTTCAACTATCTTGTGATCTTTCAACATTCCACATGCACCTATGCTCCTTGGTAAATAGAATGTCAGTATTGCTCAGCAGATGAAGGCATGATTCACTGTCATTATTTTTCTGGTCTTCCTATCCAAGTTCCTAGCTCAGCTTGCATTCAGTCCACTATTCCAGTTGGGTATCTAATGATTGGAATTGCCCAAATATTAATCGCTTTCGTTGTATTTCCATCTCTGAGTTTGGTCTTTAAGATCTTTTTTGCTCTTCTGATGTATTCATTACTTTCCTCTTAACTTCAGTATGCTTGATATTGTCAGTGTGAAGGATACCCAGGTATTTGTAGGGATCTTCTTGATCCTGACTTTGGATGTTATTTCATAGGGTATGCTTTATTATTTCCAGTGCTTCCTTGATCTTCCTTCTCTCTAGGAGATAGTTTTCAAATCAGGTGACATTATTATTGTTGGACACACAGTTAATTAGATGTCTGTAGAGATTCTCAGTCATCCAGGTCATGGATGTCCCATAACTGCTTTTCCAAAAGGCAACTGGACTATCTTGTTCTTTCTTGAAAATGTTTTGCTTCTCATCCAAGAAGCTTCTTCAGTTCTGAAATTCTGAAGTTCAGAAATGAAGAAGCTTCTTAGATGACAAGCTAAACACATAGTAACTGTGAGAGAGACCTCGGAGTCCTAGTGGACAGTCACCTAAATATGAGCCAGCCGTGTGCTGCAGTTGCCAAAAAGGCCAACACAGTGCTAGGCTGCATTAACAGAGGGATAGAGTCAAGATCACATGAAGTATTAATACCACTTTACAATGCCTTGGTAAGGCCACACTTGGAATACTGCCTCCAGTTTTGGTCACCATGATGTAAAAAAGATGTTGAGACTCTAGAAAGAGTACAGAGAAGAGCAACAAAGATGATTAGGGGACTGGAGGCTAAAGCATATAAGGAACGGTTGCTGGAACTGGGTATGTCTAGTAGTTTAATGAAGAGAAGGACAAGGGGGGACATGATAGCAATGTTCCAGTTTCTCAGGGGCTGCCACAAAGAAGAGGGAGTCAAACTGTTCTCCAAAGTGCCTGAAGGCAGAACAAGAAGCAATGGATGGAAACTAATCAAGGAGAGAAGCAACCTAGAACTAAGGAGAAACTTCCTGACATTTAGAACAATTAACTAGTGGAACAACCTGCCTCCAGAAGTGGTGAATGCTCCAACACTGGAAGTTTTTAAGAAGAGACTGGACAGCCATTTGTCCAAAATGGTATAGGGTTTCCTGCCTAAGCAGGGGGTTGGACTAAATGACCTCCAAAGTCCCTCCCAACTTTATTATTATTATTATTATTATTATTATTATTATTATTATTATTATTATTATTATTATTATCTTCAAGGAAAAACAAGAAAGTCCAGTTGCCTTTTGAAAAAGCACCTTTGGGACAGATGTTTAGCTATGGTGATGATAGTGGTGATTAGTGGTTGCATGCTCCCAAACTCTCTGTATGTGCAGTTCTAGTAGTAGTTCCTATTGAATCTGTTTTCTGGCATGGCATATCTCAAAGGGCTGGCAAGATCCTTGAAAGCCTAACAGCATTTTCCTTCCTTCCTTGTACTAAACAGTGTCAAGACAGAGTCATTTTAAGTTTTTTTCTAAAGCATTTTTCCTTTTCTGGGTTTAATTCATCTTTGCTAACTGTTGCATTCTTTATCCAAGGCCACCTCCATGGTTCTCTACACATAGCAAGGTAGACGTTTGGAGTCAGTTTGGTCTTTTCTCAAACACTGTTTCCAAAAGGAGAAAAAATAAACCTTCCTGGGACAATACCCTTCCATTTCTTCAACCAATGAGGCCATGGGTGTGAATTACAAAGAAGTGATGATCCAATCCCTAAGCCATTTGGCTGAGCAGAATAGAACCCCTGAGTCTTAAGATGTCCATTATGCTTCATATTTCAGAATTTTGCATTATCTTACAGTGAGATGTTGGGCATTTCTGCAATTTCCCATTTAGATAAGTGTGTGCTGAAATTGAATAGGGCTGTCAAATGTAAGCAGCAAAAATTTCAGATGACACTAGATGGCAGCAAAGAAGCAGCAGTTCTGCATTACTCTTCTGCCATCTAGTGACTGTCTGGTTTTCTGCAACCTTTATCTGATAGCTCTTCCGCTCCTTGAAGCTTTATTGGATTACATCATTGTTCCTATTGGAGAATAATGTTCTAAGAAATAATGAACTAGTAAGATTTGGTGAACATTCCCTGGTTATCACACCAACCCTAAGTATTCAGATGTCATATCTCTGCTTCAGCGAATATGCTACAAATGCTTCTCTGACATAATTAAAAGTACCAACAGAAGAGAATATTTGTAACTCAGGGCTGAACTGTGGAGACTTTGGTGCTCTCTGAGCTTGGTTGTTTTTTTTGCAGACGTTTCATGACCCAATTAGGTAACATCTTCAATGCTACTAGCATACTATGAAGAAGATGCTACATTTCGGGCTACACTGAAGATGTTACCTAGTTGGATAATGAAATATCTACAAGGTTACAGCTAAGCTCAGAGATAAACAAGGATTCCATATTTCAAATGATTTTCCCCCAAAACCTGGAGCAGTTTTTAGAATTTTTCTTGGGATAACACATGCCATATCTACACCCTAAATCTGTAAATCACTGCTTCTCTGAAGATTCAGTTCTTAATATTTATTCCTCTAAAACAGTGTTTTGTCAAACTCAGCAACTTCAAGACATGTGGACTTCAGCTCCCAGAATTACCCAGCATGAGGAAAAAGGATACAGCATTTGATCAATGACATTTTTTATAACTGGGATTTTAAAAATCACAGCAATTGAAGAGTATTCCTGTTCGTCTAAACGGCAGATGCAGCAGGAGTTGGCTGGGGTAGATACATGTGTGTGAACACACTAACGTGTGTTTTGCAGAACATGTTTACCAAATAAATGAATAAAGTACCGCCTTGAAAGAGGTGCTTATCCCTTCTCCTCATCCAAGAATAAATGTGAATGTATCTTCAGATAGGATCACTGCTATGACATATGTGCTTTATCCGAAAACCGTAATGTAATCTTGCTTCAGAAACATTTTATCCATCTAAAATCAATGCGAATCAATTAATTAAAATGATTAATTGCTTATCTGTGCAGTTCTAACCTCTAATTCATTGTGGTGGGAGGAAAGGTTCCTCTATGTTAGTGAAGCTCAATCAGTAGCGGGTCAGTCTTCTGTCAGGTTTTAGATCAGGGGTTCTCAACCTTGGCAACTTTAAGACTTGTGGACTTCAACTCCCAGAATTCTGGGAGTTGAAGTCCACAAGTCTTAAAGTTGGCAAGGTTGAGAACCCCTGTTTTAGATCAACACTGTCAGTGGTTCCGGCAATATTAAGCCACCATGTTCTCAGTAAGTATCTCTTGGATCCATTTTCTTTCCACAACTAGCCATAGGATTTCAACTACCGTCCATAGTTTTGTGAGTTGCTTTTTCAACTACACAAATCTTCACGTCTTCATTCCCATTTTTTTTTGCTTTGCCCTATCTGAGGCTTTCATGGAGAAAATCCACCCAAAGGATCACTAGGAGTCAACAACGACTTGATGGCACATGATCAATCAATCAATAGCAGACTTAAGATATTGAGACTCTAGAAAGAGTACAGAGAAGAGCAACAAAGATGATTAGGGGACTGGAGGCTAAAACATATAAGGAAAGGCTGCTGGAACTGGGTATGTCTAGTTTAATGAAGAGAAGGACGAGGGGGGACATGATAGCAGTGTTCCAATATCTCAGGGGCTGCCACAAAGAAGAGGGAGTCAAACTATTCTCCAAAGCACCTGAGGGCAGGACAAGAAGCAACAGATGGAAACTAATCAAGGAGAGAAGCAACCTAGAACTAAGGAGAAACTTCCTGACAGTTAGAAAAATTAACCAGTGGAACAACCTGCCTCCAGAAGTGGTGAATGCTCCAACACTGGAAGTTTTTAAAAAGAGACTGGACAGCCATTTGTCCGAAATGGTATAGGTTTTCCTGCCTGAGCAGGGGGTTGGACTAGATGACCTCCAAAGTCTCTTCCAACTTTATTATTATTATTATTATTATTATTATTATTATTATTATTATTATTATTATTATATCTGAGAGTAAGATTCACTGATGTCGATAAGATTTAGATTTGATTAATATTCCCTCAGGCAAGGTTATAAATTCCATGTGATTGAGCAATTGTTTTTTTTAAGTAAATTGTACAGTAGCTGTTTTCTAAACCTTTTATTTTCCAAAATTGCAGTTAAAAAAATCATAATCTAACAGCCCATTTGTATTTAGAAACAGTAATTCCAGGGCCATTGAGCTGGAGTTGGTGTAAATCATGATACATCAGGGGTGTCAAACTGCCAGCCCACGGGCCGGATGCATCATAGCAAAACCACACCCACTCTATTGCTGGCAATGGCAATACGTCACGACACGTCACGTGACGTTGCAAGTTTGACACCCTTGTACTACATAAACTTCAGAGAACTCAATTCTCTTGTTGAGTCTGAATCACAGGCATTTTATCATGTTTTTCACAATAGGTAAAGGTTAAAGGTTTCCCCTACCCAGTTGTATCCAACTCTATGGGATGGTGCTAATCTCTGCTTCTTAGCCAAGGGAGCCAGCATTGTCCAAAGATATTTCCATAGTCCTGTGGCCAGCATGACTATATGCCAAGGCACATGGAATGCTGCTACCTTGCCACTGAAATGGTACCTATTTATCTACTCGTATTTGCATGCTTTCAAACTGCTAGGTTTGCAGGAGCTGAGAGCTCACCCCTTCGTGCGGTGCTTGGGTCTCAAACCAGGCTGTCAGCTTTCCAGTTGACAAGCTCATCATCTTTAACCACTGAGCCATCATGCCCTCCTTCTCCCTTGTTTTTCACAATAGATTCATGTTTTTTTAAGAAATATTGATCGGCTAGACCAGTGATGGCGAACCTTTTAGAGTCCGAGTGCCCAAACTGCAACCCAAAAACCCACTTATGCATCGTCAGGTGCCGGGTGGGTGTGGCTCATTGGCTGGGTGTGGCCAATTGGGTGGGTGTAGCCCATTGGGTGGACATGGCTGCGGTGGTAACGGCAGACTGGGTGGGACTAAAAAGTTCAATCAATTCCAACTTTGCAAGATTTTTTTTTCCCATGAGAAGTTGAAATCGACTGATTGATTGAACCTTTTTTTTTTTTTTGTACACGGTGGCAGAAGCCTAAAGTGAAAAGGTTTTATAAAACCCAGCTGAAGGCCTAGGTCTGGGGCGAGGGCGTGTGTGCCCACAGAGTGGGCTCTGAGTGCCGCCTCTGGCACCCGTGCCATAGGTTCGCCACCACTGGGCTAGACAACTTTCAATGTGATATCCCCAGTTGTGTTCATGGAAAGTAAAGGAAAGAGATGGGTTTTCAGACTTTCAAGATTGATGTCAGCCCTTCAAGATAGTGGGGAACAAGAAACCAAAACCATGAGTGCTAATTCCTGAGATTATAGCAACAGTCTTGTTAAAACTGAAAGCCTAGCTCTCCCCCTTGCCTTT